GGATTGCATTCAATAACTCCTCTTCGGAGCACTTGTAGGCATCGAGTCGTATACCAAACCCCTTGTCCTCAACTCTCTGTGCGTTATCCCATTGATCGCCGAGAAGTGGCAAAACAATCATAGGTTTCCCAAAATACATGGTTTCGGTGACAGTATTGTTCCCGCCGTGGGTTATAACCAAATCAACTAACGGTAAGACTTGTATCTGTGGGACAGACCCCTCGCCCCACATATTGGCTGCCAATTCAATCTCGTTATGTTTGGGTCCTTTTGATATAATAAACCATTATTAACATATTTGCTATTTTAAAATAAATTTAAATTAACTATTAATGAGCTATTGCATCATATTGCAATTTAATCAATATATAAGTAATTCAGATAAAACAAGTTATTAAATTTAAGTAAATTAGATGTTATTATTGTAATATTAATTAATGATTTTTTATATTTTAGTTGATTTATTTTTAAAAAATTTAAATTTTCTGATAAATATAAAAATTTAGAGTAAAAAGTGTTGCAACCATTGAAACTATTGATGTTAGTCGGCATTTGGGTCGACCGACGACCGCATAGAAATTAATGCAAATCGACCGACTCCGATGACTCGCACTCATATTTTTGTAATTAAAAATTTTAAATACACAAGTATTTTATATAAAGTAAAGAGTTAGTGTGCCATGAACCATAATGATTATTTATACAAAAATGTATTATTTAATTTGTAATAAAAATAATTAGTGACAGTTCTTTTGGATACACTCATAGCATTGTTCTGTGACCTTCATTAACTATCATGATGAAGCAACCATTAATTATTACCAATTTAAATCAATTACTAATTTAACTAGTAATTATTAAAAATAATTATGAAATAAAATTACAAAGTAAATTTTATTTATTTAATGTTAAGTTACCAAGTTATTCTTTATGTGAATTTTTTAATTATTATTAACATCTATTTTGGCCACAAGTTTTTCAATCATTTCGGGAAGACTTGCGATACTATTATCCGATTGTATTCTTTGCGATATTTTTAGCAATTTTTCATTCAATTCCTTATTATTCAATAGATTTTGGATTGCATTCAATAACTCCTCTTCGGAGCACTTGTAGGCATCGAGTCGTATACCAAACCCCTTGTCCTCAACTCTCTGTGCGTTATCCCATTGATCGCCGAGAAGTGGCAAAACAATCATAGGTTTACCGAAATACATGGTTTCGGTGACCGTATTGTTCCCGCCGTGGGTTATGACCAAATCAACTAACGGTAACACTTGAATCTGTGGGACAGACCCCTCGCCCCACATATTGTCTGCCAATTCAAACTCGTTATGTTTGGGTCCTTTCGATACAATAAACCTGTGCTTAGATTTAAACAAAATAGTCACTAATCTCTTCATATTGTCCACATCTGCCGCACCCATAGATCCCAATGAAAAGTATATGAATTTTCCCGGTCTGTCCCTCAACTTCATGGGTAAGTAAAATATTACGTGCTTTTCCTGACGCTTGAAATTATCAAATCGATGCCATTTTGGTGGCAATGATTTCAAATCCTGATAATCCAATTCCAATGGATAGTTATAAATATTCAAATACTTTGAATGATTGATAAAAAAATGTCATTTCTTTATAATCTATTGGTTCGCATCCGTTATCCAATAGATAGCTATTGAAATCCCTTCTAATCCCAGCCTTAACTCTATTCGCTTCGTCTCTGAATGCTTTCCATTCACTCTTCACTCCAATCGCTGCCAAACCTTAGATTTTAATTATCAAATTATTTAACAAAATGTAATTTTAAATATATTATATAATTTTAGTTAAACATAATACAAATTAAGTAACTATAAATTAAGTAATTATTATATACATTGCATATTTATTAACATTATTAATTAATATAAACCTGAGATTGCTGGTGGTAATTCATCGCAATAAAAATGATATAGCGGATTGCAACTGTTGACCTACACCCAGGGTATTTTTGACTTGAGCACCGATGGTAACTCTATTAGTTGATCCAAAAACATCACATCCGGCTTAATTGTCGGTAGTAGACTTTCCAAATGTTTGTCCCATTCCCGGCCGGGATCTACCGACCCGCTTCGGTGAGCAATATCTCTTGGATGCCGTACTTTGTGAGCCGACCCCTCCATTGGTCGCTCACCACAAACACCACCTGATGTCCGGCTTGTATGAGCACTTCGGCAATACCAACGCTGGCGTTGACGTGACCCACGGCGTCGATCGGCACAAATAGGACGGTTAAATTGTTGTCTATGTTAGTTTTTAGTATTTATTTTAACCTAATTTATATACGTTGAAATATTTTACAAATAATAATTACTATTGATTTTACCAACACTGCTATAAAATATTTATTATCTTGTATTTAATGTTCTGATGTCTGGCTTTTATAAAATTTATATTAAATGCGACTTAACATAATTAATGGATATATAATTATATAGTGTTTTTTATTATCTAATTTTATTAGATAATAATTATCATTGGTTTAATAAAAATTAATTAAAGTTGTTGAGTAAGTTAAAATGCATTTAAATTTCAATGTCATTAAGTTGGGTCAATTAGATATTAGTGACAGAATTTATTTAATGTTAGTTATGTTTTATCACATAAAATTAATTTGTTAGTGCATAGTTAGTTTCAATTAAATCCGTATATATATATATATGTTATGTTTATTTTTCTTTAATATTTTTGACACATACTTAACTTTGTATTGTATATTTTTTATAGATAATAAAAATGTGGTACTACTGACAAAGATGTTATTTAATTTTCAAAAATATAGTTTTAAAACGATTTAGTGCATTATAATTACAGAAGTAATTAATAAATTATTTTACAATAAATGTAAAAAATTATATATTTATACAATTTAATTGAAAATCAGACCATATCAAATAGCGAGTAATGTATAAACTGTAAAATTATACTTATAAAGAATAAATTTAATTCACATAATTTCAAAAAGATTTTAGTGGGTATTTAGCTGTAGATTTATGTTGAATACGTATATTGATGTAGATAAATATAAATTTTTGATTTAATGAACTATTAATTCACAAGTAAAGTAATTTTATATTCTAAAATAATTTATTATAATTTTAAAGAAGCTGTTAAATGTAATCAATTAATTGTGCACAAAATAAAGCAATTTATAAACTATAAAACTATATCAACAACATTAAAATTATAATTAAATTGTATGCTAGTAATATAAATTGGACATGATTCTCGTTATCGATTATTAGTGTAAAAATGCAAGTTTTAAAACAATTTTTTGCATTATTAGTAATAATTTATTACTGTATTTACTATAAATAATAATACTGTTTATGTGATAAACATTTGTTTGATTGTATATTTTTAATAAATAACCAATTAATGTATGAACTAATAATAATGTTAATATTGTAACAAATTTACTTAGAATAAATATAACATATTCCGTGAAAATGTAGAAATTGACCGAAAATGATGGACAAGTATATGCGTTGTTCAATGTAGTTGGCATTTGGGTCGATTTAAGACCGCATAAATGCGGATTATGGGCCGGTTGTTTTATTGTACAATACAATAGTATATTATGTATTTATAGATATGTATAAACTGTAATGTTTTAGCATTACACATAATCAATTAAGTAGCTGACTTAACGAGTATTGTATCTTGGTAGAAATTTCAAACCCAATTTAATTATTTAAAAATGCAGTTAATTTTATTAGTAAAATATTTATTAACACTTTTCAACCAATTAATATTTTGCAAATAATTTTGATAAAATGAAAATAACAGTCGGACTATATTTAAAGTAATAAATTATTTAATATATTAAAATATATTATTGTTAATTTATGTATGATCTCACAATTTTTGTTCCCGCCAAATAATTTAATCATAATACTAAATTTGTATAATTAAACAATTATGTACAACTTATCTACAGTTTGATTAAAAAATACAAGTAGTAATTGTAAACTTTGTCTTTTTATAATAAAATTATTAACATATTCATTTGTGATACTATAAGATTTAATTTGTTTATTATTAGACATAATTTTTAAATGTAAAATAGTAATGAAATTATTATTAGATAACAAAATAAAATTTCAATGAAATACAAATTATTATTTACATATTATTCCATTACTAATAATCCTGTCATGGATACAAAATCGCAAATAGCCTAAATACAATTTGAATTCTGGTAAAATACGAAAAAAATTAACATTTTTAAAAGTTAAACTGTAATAAAATGTGGTAATTTTATTTAAATCAATTATCAAGTTGGTTGACTATTATATTTGGCAACGAATGTATACGTTATATAATCCAATTAATTATTAGATTTAAATTCGACTAAAATTACGGTACTTGATTATTTTTACAATATTAATAGTATTAAATAAAGATAGGTTTAAATTAGGTTAATCAGTTTCCAAGTCTTATATTTATATTTTTATTATTTTTGTTTGTAAAAATTTTTATTTGTGATTGTATATTTAATAAAAATGATTTTTAATTTATAATTATTGAGCCTTAAATATATGACAGTTTTAATGTTGGTAAAATACG